ATTTATGTTGACCTTGTAACAATTCCGGTTTATGAGTTATATTTTTATTTTAATCATTTATTTGTTGTGTCTTCAAATAAAATAAATATATATATTTCCGGTGCGTAATATTCAATTTTCATTCGATATTTTCACAACTGCATTTTCTTGAGAGCAATTTACCTATTTATAATTTATCAATATATGTGTCGTTGAAATTTTCTGTAAATAACATTTTTAGTTCGAAATGATTTGACATAATCCAAATTTGTTAGGCGTTTTGCACATGTATGTGGTTCTGGTTTTCATCGGGAAACTTCATCTAGAGACAGAACGAAGTATTTTAAGTAAAAAGTTGCATATGAGTGTGAGTCCTAGAACGTCTCGTTTTCGTGATACAGGACCTTGGAATTAAAAGAATAGATTATGTACCAAAATGTCGCAAATCGACTTACAAATATTTTTATTAGTGGGGAAATGGGGATGAGGAACATGAAAATTGCGAAAATGTTGAGAAAATTGTATTGGCACTTTTCATTCGTGTATTTCTAAGAAATGAGATCTTTTCAATTTAATTCAAAGAACGAGCCTGTCTAGAGTTATGTTTTTTTTTTAATTCTGTAATAAGATCACACAGTCGAATAAGAAGAAATATCTAAAAAAAATAGTATACTTAAAACCTTTATAAGAAATACAATTTTAAATATGATGTAATCTGCCGAAAAGTCTAAAAAATTATTGGTGCCCAAATTTTAATTTTTTTTAGAAGCTTACATCCTCAGAATGTTAGAAATTTCTTATATCAATGATTTTTTTAACTTTTTAGACATCATATTGTATTTAAGATTATATTTTTTAACAAATAATTCCCAAAACGGATAATTGTTCGAAGAAGATGGAAGAAATTGTTTCTCTTAGAAATCCTAAATGTAATAAAATTCTGAGTCTCCCAGTGGACTCCCCTTGTCTCCGCCATTGGTTAGTTAATTTTTAGTGAATTTTTACTTCTATTTAAATACGTCAACTTAATGTTCATATGAAACTTTTTTTCTTAAAATCATTTCTATCTCGTGGTGAACAACCTTGATTTTATAAATTATTGTACTGATTGTGAGATGAGATAGCTCTCTATTATTTAGATGTAATGCTGAATCAAAGTTAAATAGTCTTAAATATTAATAATAGGGATTACCTAGAAAGTAATTTTACAACTCAAATAACCCGTTTTACTCATAAAAGATAATACATATGTGCATGCGTCATGAGACCATATTTTTTTTGCGAAAATAAAAAATTACATAATGCTATGAACAATATCCCTTAAACGTATATTTAATATATAAAAATAAATTTTGTAATCTGTATTGTAGAGCGCGTTTTTTTCAACTTGTATACGGTTTGATGTCTCAAATAACCCGTTTTACTCATAAAAGATAATACATATGTGCATGCGTCATGAGACCATATTTTTTTTGCGAAAATAAAAAATTACATAATGCTATGAACAATATCCCTTAAACGTATATTTAATAGATAAAAATAAATTTTGTAATCTGTATTGTAGAGCGCGTTTTTTTCAACTTGTATACGGTTTGATGTCTCATTTGAATTTGTAGGGCTAAAAGAACAAAATTTATAAAAAAATTACATTATTCACGTATTTTCAGTTGTTTCATTTCATAATTACACACGTATTTTCTGGCAGAGATGCAGAGATAGTCGGAAAGGTCATGAAGGTAACAAATTGAAGACAAGAGAGCTGCCCCAAAAACCTGCGTGACATTTCACGACAGCCCGTATCTTCGCGAAGCTACACAGCATCGGTATAACATATGTCTCCTCGATGTTGCGCCCGTACATATTTTTTGTCCTACAGAAATTTCGATTAGTACTACGTGTACCTCCTTCCGTGTCTTTTAGCTTCGTTTGTATACATACATCATGGCATCACCGTCGTTTGAATGTTGTGTCGATGTTGGGCAGATGTTGTGTAGCTCATGGGGACACCGTCTTAAATCGCTGTAGCCTAATCACGGCAACACATGTAGTAAGTCTTAATATCAAAATGCCTACTCATAAATGGTATTTAGTTAAGTAATTAAAGTAAATTAAATATGTTTAATTTGTATATGCTATTATAATGGATGTTAAACCTTGGAGATGTCACTAACCCCTTCTCGCGACTATCGTTGTTAATTTGCCTAGTTGGACATGTTTTCTCAGTAACAATACCGACATTTTTAGTTTTCGTATAATAAAATCAGTATTATAACTCTTCTAAATTAGGCTTAATTCATCATAAATATATCTGCAAAAAAACGGGCACTTTTATCACTAATTATTTTTGTATTTGCGAAAATTATATCAAAACAATTCAATGTTATTGAGATAATGCATATGCATACCCAATATTGTATCTCTATAAATAATATTTTAACTAAAAATTTGATTTTAAATGTTATCCTTTATCTCAAATAACAACTTTTCGATATTGATATATTTTATCTCTGATCAAAATATTTATATGTTTACATAATGATACGTTGAACATGAACGATTATTATCCATTTGGGATATTTTTATCAGCAATTTGAACTTGAAAAATATTTGCAACAAAAGAATTATTTATGTTTCAGTATATTTTAAATGAAGTTGCCAATCGAAAACCAAGCTTTGGTCGCCTACCATTGATATTTTTCTTATATGAAAACGCAGTTACCAAATTGCATATTTATCAAATTTTAAAATAGCAAACAATACATAAAGTTACGACTTTTGTAAGTGTAGGAATGTTTTTCAAATAATACGGCATTTCTAACAAGTGTTGTAATAGCAGTGTTTTTTTTTTGTCTAACAGCTGCAGTGTTTGGTTTCAAATCAAATTCCAGTCACTAACACAAGAAGGCCCATTTTTGTGAAATATTCTATTAGTATTCGCTACTGTAACCGTAAAACAAGCAGTAGTAAAGGCAGCGTCAGAATTATCTTTTCCATTATTGATTTTTGTTGCAAGAGAATCTTCGATATATCCTTCAACTACTGTGTCACTTTTCCAACTACTAAGACACTTCAAAGTAGTAATTTCTGTGTTGCAATTTGCTAAGAAAGTAGCTGTTGATCCTCGAAAGAAATGACCTTAAGAGAAATGTGCAGAGAAGTGATATATAATTTAATTCCTGCAATTACTGCTGAAAATTGGCCTCAGTAAACTAAAGCGTGCAATTTGTGCGCAATCATTGTTTTAATCAAGGTCTTATTCGGTTTGAAACGGTGAAAATGCATGAGATTTTCATGGCATTACGCCACGTTTATCTAATATGTTATATAAAAAAATAATACTCTAGATATATTAAATTTTTTCCTCGAGAGGAAAAATTATAATATAAATTATAATATTTTTAATATACCGGACATGTTTTCATTTCTGTTACATATTACATCCATCTGGTTTATTTCTGTCTGCGAAATTTCATCTTAATAAGTTTATTTACATCTCTTGGAAAATAAACCCCACTGCCACGGTATTGTATATGTTATTAGGCTATTGCCAAGAAAACTAATAAACAAAAATTGAGTTTTGATTATAATTTGTGAAGGTAAAATGAGTATACAATTTTTTGTAAAATTAATCATTTGTGTTGAGGCATAAAGAGCAATAATTTTTAATTTTTCAGTTGTATTCTAGCTGAGCCTAAACAGTGTTATATTTATAGATTCTAACTGTATACTTAGAGAAAATTTCGCGTAAATAAGGGAAAATTATTTCATAGAACTAACAGTTATAACAAAAATGATGTAGGGGGTTTTATAAGTTGAGAAATATCTCTGATGTAGGCGGTTGAAATATGCTAATGAACATTTACTTGTCAATAGAAACTCTGAAATTTCGGTGCCACTGATTATTTGCTATAAGGGAATTTAATTTCTAATGTTATTTCTAAGGAAAACTTAAAACTTTCTTCGAAAAATGTCCCGTTTTCTAGTGTTAGTTAGCAATTAATTTTGCAACACAGCCGCACTGGGCGACCGGGCAATAAATCTCAGTTGTTGACAAGTGGTTGGCAAATTGACTAGCAGTGCTCTGCAGCAATGCGGAATTTGGTGTGCTTCAGGTAATTTTAATTTATTAATCATTCATATTACAATTGCGAAAGGGAGAAATAAGAGGGATACTTTGTTTACTAATATTATTACAACATGGCATTTTGGAGGCCTTTTGAAACGAAACAAAATGAAATTTACCATGAATATAATAAAATTGTTTGAGTACATAAATAATTAAAATGATGTTGGCCAAATGAACACATAAGAGAAATTTTCTACACGTTATATACAAATTATTATAATTTTTTACCTTTAGCAGAAAACTTTTTTAGGGACGCCTATGAAACTCATTCAATTTTATTGCTGGGCGTTTTTATACATGTTCAACTGACTTCGGAAAGACTACACCATTAGAAGTAAAATAAGAATAGAACAAAAACTTTTTTGGTATCAATTTAACAATTTCGACCGGTTTTATGTGGTCGTATTTTAGTCGTGCGAACTTTTAACACTTAAAATAATAATTCTCAAAAAAGGATGTTGGTTTCCGCTATTTTATCGTGCGCTAGAGTTAATATATGGGACCGCGGTAGTAGGCAAATACCAATATTGCATTAATTTAATCATTTAATTCGTTCCATGACTGTGGATAAAACAGACGATAGCAGTAATCAAGATGACCTCGGGACACAGGGTTAATTACCAGACCACATACCTAATGTTAATGTTACATCCAGTTATCAGTATGTAATTTGATTTCAGTTTTTTATTAGGGCGCGACGCATTTGCATATGTTTTATCAAATCTTTACAAAGGACTATTACGTTCATAATTAATTAATTAATTAATAATCCAGTTACTTAAAATTGAAAATAGTTCGATTAAAATAGTATCCTGAATGTTGTTCATTTTGTACTGTACCATCCTGTATATGTGATTGTTGAATTGTATATTAATCCAGAATTTCTAATTTCCAGGTGACAACAGGTGAAAATGACCTCGATAAGGATGAAGTGAACATCATCAGCGGAGCCTTGGAACTCCGCAAGAAAACTGTCTCAAACGTAATGACGAGAATAGAGGATGTCTTCATGTTGGACTACGAAACAGTTCTGGACTTCGAGACCGTATCTGAAATCATGAAGAGCGGTTACTCGCGTATCCCAGTATACGAGGGCAATCGCCAGAACATCGTTACCATGCTTTACATCAAAGATTTGGCGTTTGTTGATCCCGACGACAACACCCCTTTGAAGACCCTGTGCCAGTTTTACCAAAATCCTTGTAATTTCGTTTTTGAGGACGTCACCTTAGATGTGATGTTCAAGATATTCAAAGAGGGCAACAAAGGACACATGGCGTTTGTTCATCGGGTTAATAACGAAGGGGAGGGAGATCCGTTCTATGAGACTATCGGGCTTATAACTCTTGAGGACGTTATTGAGGAGTTAATCCAGGCTGAAATTATGGATGAGACGGACGTTTTCAGTAAGAACCTGCGATGCATTTGCGTGTTTCATGTGCTGAATTATAATTTTTTTAGCTGATAACCGCTCTAAGAGGAGGAGGATAGCCGAAAGGAGACAGGACTTCAGCGTTTTCGCTGAGAAGCGCGGGGAACCAAACAAAATGAGAATTAGCCCACAGTTAACTCTTGCCGCTTATCAATATTTGAGTACAAGTAAGTTCTGATATGTTTCTTAAGTAAACTAAACTGTTGCAAAGGGCGATTATTAAATATGAAACCAGTCCTAAAATATCCCGCTTCTGATCTATGTGCGAATTTTTCTCATACTAATTAAAAGATTTGTTTTGGTTGAATTAACAGTGTCAAGAGTCTTCAAGGCTTTTTTTTTAGGCGTTGAACCCTTCCATCCCAATGTGATATCTGAGACAATCCTTCGACGCCTTCTTAAGCAAGACATTGTGATCCACATAAAGAAGAATAAGGACTGGCGTACGGACCCGACGAACGTCATCTATGACCAGGGCAAACCTGTCGATTTCTTTGTCATAATATTGGAGGGTCGTGTTGAGGTGACCGTGGGAAAAGAAAATTTGATGTTTGAAGGAGGCCCGTTCACCTATTTCGGTACCCAAGCACTCGTTCAAACTGTAGGAATTGGTAAGTCCCGCAATTTTCTTTTCAATTTGATTTTTTTTCTTTTGTGTTTAATATCGTTTCGTTATTATTTTATTTTGTATTATACTTACATTCCGATTCTCAACTTTTTATTTTAGAATCGCCATCAGTGGCGCCATCTACCATGGGAAGTCTAGAATCATTGAACATAGATTCGTTATTGCGCCACACTTTCATTCCCGATTATTCGGTTAGAGCCTCGACCGAAGTGTTATACCTGAAAATAAAGAGAAGTCTGTATCTGGCTGCTAAAAGAGCCACTTTAATGGAGAGATCCAAGAAAGGCGAACACCAAACCGAACAGCAGTTCGATGAGGAAGTAGACAAGGTGAGTCGTAGATTCTAGGCCGATGCCCCTCTCCCCCTAACCCAATTCCTTTGCTTCCTAGATGCTCCATTATAACAGTGTTTATAACATTAACGAGATAGATATCATGTATAAGGATTATTACGACAATCAAGAAAGTGGCGAGAGTATGTATTAAGGTAATATTTTTTTTAAGTGGTACATTGGTACAAATTCTTATGCTTATACTTTTTTTCATGTTGAAGAGAATAAATGCTTTGAAAGTTTAAAAAATGTTCAATAATTATCAATTTTGGAGTCACTCACACAAGCTATCACTCGAAGTATCTAAGACGTTTTCCTCAAATTATTTCACTTCAGTTCCATACATCAAACTTATAACTTGCCAAAAAGCGTAAGATTCCACATGTGATGAAACCCCTGTGTACCAAATTTAGTGATTCTCGTACAACAGGGTTCTGAGATATAAAAAAGACTATTCTTAGGGGTGGATTTCAGGGGGCTGTAACTCCGAAAGAGGGGCCAACTTGGCAAAAATAAAAAATACGGGTCCCCTAAATTTGTCTTAAGCAAACCAACACATTATATGAAAATCTTCGTATAATTTTAATTTTAGTAGAATCGAACAAATTCAAATTACTACAAAAACAAAGATAATCAAAAAATTTTAAGAATTAGTTCTTGTGAACACTGAAAACAAAAAGACCATAAAAAATTTGAAAACTGGTAAAAAAAAATTATTTTAAAAACTTTCATATCCCCTGTAATTTTGAATGAATTTTCCAGCACATTGTATATAGCCCTACTTAATCTGTTTTATGTGTCGGAAAACTGAAAAGATATGTAAGGCGATACAGCGAAACGTCCTGAAATTATGCTTGTTTACACTATATTTTATTTTTAATTCACAGCCATGGTAAAAAATTACTGTGAAAATATCATAAAACAGGAACGGATGTTTTCAGATTCCTCCTAAACTTTTTGATCTTTTAAAAAATTAAACATTTTTCAACTAAAAATATCGTATTACGAATAAAAATATAATCAATGTAACGATTAATTCCAACAACAAGAAAAATACATATGGGACGAAAAGGATATTTGTGAAAATCTTATAATAAGATCAATTTAATCAGATACAGCATTAAAATATATGTATTTGACGTGCTTTTAAAGTAACTAAAGTTTTTTGCGTATTTCGAATTGGCGGATTTAATATGGCGCCCAAAAGCCACTAAAATTTACAAAAAAATCAGTACTAAAGATCGCGCAGCAATTCAATTTACCCCAAAAAGCCTTGTTTGGGGTTATCGTGGATTATGAATATTCTAGAGTCAATTTATCAAATCTCAAAATGGTGGATCCAACATGGCGCCCATAGGGGTAAAAAATCACAGATATTATTAGTCGATACTAACGATCCTAGAATCATTCATTTTAATTTAACAAGGCTTACTGGGGGATTCTTTAGACCTTTAGTTTTAATTTCCAAAGTCAGATTGTCGAATCTCAAAATGGCGGATCCAAGATGGCGCCCATAACAGGCATTAATTGCAAAAGTTTGCAGGAAGTACTTATGATTGAACGACTGAATTTACGTAAACAGGGCTTACTAAAGGGTTTTCGAGATTTCTGTTTGATATTACAGTCGAATTATCTACAAAGGTCGTAAAAATTTAAAGGCAATTCATATGAATAATTTTTCAATGCTTGTGATCATATCATCCTGCATTCTGCGTTAAAAAGCTCTCTGCGTTATACAGACGACGACCACCGTTATACAGGATTGGGACCGTCTTCATTTCAAAACCCGCACTACTTTATTAAATAAAATAAAAAATAAAAAATCAAAAATAAAAAAAATAAAAAAAGTAATGCGAGTTTTGAAATGAAGAAAATGCAGGATGATCGATATGATTGCAAGCATAGAAAAATTATTCAAACGAATTCTCTAAATTTTAGCGGCTTTTGCAGATAGATAATTCGACTGTCATATCAAACAGAAATCACGAAAACCCTTTAGTAAGCCTTGTTTATGTAAATTCAGTTGTTCAATTATAAGTACTTCCAGTAAACTTTAGAAATTCATGATTGTTGTGGGCGCCATATTGGATCCACCATTTTGAGATCGACAATCTGACTCTGGAAGTTAAGACTACGGGTCTAAAGAACCCCCCAGTGAGCCTTGTTTAGTTAAAACGAATGATTCTGGGATCGTTAGTATCGATTTCTTCATAATATCTGTGATTAGTTACTCGCCATGTTGGATCCACCATTTTGAGATTCGATAAATTGACTAGATATTATTCATAATCCATAAAAACTCCAAACAAGGCATTTTGGGATAAATTTAATTGCTGTGTGATCTTTAGTACTGATTTTTTGTGAATTTTAGTGGCTTTTGGGCTTTATAGATGCCATATTGATCCGCCACTTTGAAATAAGTAAAAAAATAAAGTTACTTTAAAAGTACGTCAAATACATACATTTTAATGTATAATAATCCGATTAAATTGATCTTAATATGAGATTTTTACAAATAATATTTTCCAATATATGATTTTTCTGGAGACTTCTAGCCGCCATATTGGGTCGCTACTTTAAATTTTTCGAAAGAGCCACTCACCTTTCGAAAGGGGCATTCCTAACGAATCTTTTAAGCCCTTATTCGTTCACATCTGCCAACGAGAATTTTGGGGCACAACTTTGTTCCGTTTGACGTGGAACGTCCCATATATATTTATTTTTTAGCGCTCAGGTCTTACGACCTATCGTGCATGCCGCCAGTAAGAGTTATTTTAAAGAAAGCTCTGTTGGAATCTTTTTAATGTCCAGAGGTGACAGAAATGCTACCCCAAGACATTTGTGTTTTTACCATTAAAAATGCAAGTACAATGACAGGTTATGGATGAAATCCCCGTCTTCATATCCACATAACTGGCATCTCCAAAACAGTTGTTTATATTTAAGAAAATATTGTAATATACTGATTAACAAACAAAGTAATACACTTAATATCTATCCAGCTGTTGCACTCGCTGGATGAGGACGACGTGGTGAGCGACGGAAAACGGACCCCCAACAGGAAATCTTCCAAGACCAAGTCGCAAGAGATAAAGGACAACCTATCCTTGCAGACCAGTCCGAAAACTCCCTCCCACTACAGCAATACCAGCCCCCCTCACCGTCTGAGCGCCCGCGACATCAACGGGTCTATCAAGTCCAGTCCCGTGGACGACATCCAGGTCAGCAGCAAGGACGAGGAGATGTCGTTGCTGCCCAAACGTTCATAACGTAAATGTACTGGCTCTAGAAATCTAGGGCCACTGTATCTTGTACTTAAATTATTTAGTTTTTAAAATACCCAGTTTTAATCGGTCTGGATGGTGGGGGTTCGAGGAAGGTCGTTGTATTTTTGGCATTTTCCCAGTTTAGTTTTTAGGTTTTCTTTTGCAACTTATTTGTACGTTTTGCCGTTTACTCGCTCGAACCCGATTATCCAGACGGAACCAATGCCCTTATAATATATTTGAGATTTCTACAGTAACTAAGTTAAAACGATGTTGCACACGTACCAGCAGATTTAATAAATCACGACCTGGTATGCTTAATTTCTGTGTTAGTAGTGGTGTACGGGGTGTTCCGGAGCCGTGAGGAAAGAATTCGGTGGTGATTCTACTCGTTCGGTAAAACTCGTTATTGACCGTGTTACATAACCTCTGCAACTCCGCCATTTTTGGTCTGATTATCGAAAACAAAAGATTGACGTTAATCGTTCTGAAAATACTACATACTGACACTATCATTTGTTTTCAGTGCCTCCTTAGTGATAGACAATTGTTTTTTTTTTAATAGAATATGATATATGCCTGTAGATACAAATTTTTTTCACTGAATTCGACATGTTATAACTAGATTTTTAGGAAAAATTTATGGGAAAAATACACAAATATTAATTCCAGCACTTCAACAAAAATATCAAAAGTGCCATGAAACAATCGGCTCATGGATACAAATGTCATTCAAGGTAAGAAACACATTATTACATCACACTCCAATATATTTCTGTTGTGTTTTTAGCATTTACATGAAACGTAATTTTGCGAAATCAATAAAAAAATATATTTATCCACTTCATCGGGTTTTTTGTCATTTTTATAATAATAAATTCATGTATAGTTTAGAAGCAGTGTTGTCAAGTTTATATTTCTATTATCCAATTGTTTCCATAGCACATCTGATAATTTAATTTGAGGTTATGTAAAATACCGTTTAAAAGAAATAACTGGAGTTATGTAAGTGTTAATTTCGAATTCTTGGAAGTGTCAAAGGAATTTGTGTCGTGTAGAATCGCCCGCTGAATTTTTTGTAGCAGTTTGCCGACGCCCCGTACAATGATTATGATTTTTATTTAGTCGAAGTGGCAGACGTTACATAACCATGTTGGGGCGAAGTTGCCCTCGGGATGTTTTTACATTCTTTTTAGTGCCTTATTTTAAGACAAAAAAAAATGTACTTAATTTTTGAAGGTCTCGTCGGAAATATGCCTACCAGGTGTCTTTATAGTCGTGTTGTGTTACATGTTACATTTTTACAAAGAAATCAGAGTTTCCTTAGATTTGACGTTTAATAATGTCGATTATTTATGAGATAGATGTAGATACCCAGTAAACATCGATTTTTATAGGTCAGGTTCCTCAGGTCGAAAAAAGTTCACTTTTGATTAATGTTCAAATCATTATGGTTGTTTGCTTAATTATAAATTATACGCATGAAGTGGCGATTTTACAAGTTTTCAGGAATTCGTGTGGTTTGGGATCAGTGACGGTTATTTTAGCGAATGTTTGTCTTTCTACTTTTCTAAAAATGTCGCAAAAAATTTCTAAACGTAGATTTAATTCCCCCTAAATTTTTTCATTGCTATTATAATGGCTACACGTTTGAGGAAAGACAACTTCTTGATCTTGACAACTTTTTTGTGCATCTTTAACGCTGGATGGTATTGATCGTAATCCGACTTGAAGAATGCTCGCATTTTCTAAGTGGTTCTAATAAAACTATAACTGCAGGTAGAATAGGACTATCGGTACTGATCAGTGCCAGGAAACATAAAATAAATGAGTATTAAAAAAAATTTAAACTGTTCGTGTCTCAAAGACGAAGTATTTTCGAATTTACGTTCATGTTTCTGTAATTTTGTTGCCAGGATACTGCTACGCCCTGTATTAATTTGGGCAAAATTTTGTAAAACGGACCTCAATCAATTTTATTTCAACTATAATTCTTAATTGTAACGAAAATCAATTGGGGGGAAGAGTATTAATCGAACGTTACAAAAGAACCATACATTTTTTATATTTTTATTCAGGGTTGAGCTGTATTGGTGTAAATTTAAACTCGTTGAAGTAATTGTATTCAAATATTATGTCATAAATTTTGGAATTAGACGTTTTTAATTCAGAATCCTGCTTAAGTTTTTCTGCAACCAGTTACTTTAAGGTTAAAGGTAAGGTAATTAAAACAATTCTAAAAAAATTCCTGAACTGTCTTTAATGAAGATGTGTACAGGGTCGGAAAGTCCCCATGGTTCATCGGCCGTTACGTGAGAGCGATAAAGAAAGTCATAGAAATCCGTGCAATAGAGAAAGATGGCTATAATGAAGGCATCTAATACTCACCGCCCATTTCGCCCTTCCACAAATAAGATCCACTTCTTATTTGTGGAAGGGCGAAATGGGCGGTGACTATTAGACGCCTTCATTATAGCCATCTTTCTCTATCGCACGGATTTCTATGACTTACTTTATCGCTCTCACATTACGGCCGATGAACCATGGGGACTTTCCGACCCTGTATACTGTTTGATGTGTAATGGAACAGATAACTGTCCGAAGAGTACTGATGAAAATACGTCTGCCGTTAAAAAATGTTGAATTACTTCACAGAAACTGTCTTCTATTTTATTTCTTGACTACTTTGGACATTGTATTCGCACAAATGTATTAACTATCCATTAATTAATATATGTCTTTAATCTTGAAAATGCAGAAATATGTAAATCAGAATATCATGGTTGAACTTCGTGTCCATTTTTGTTCAAAGTAATCAGGAAAAATATAGTTTTTTTGAAATTTTGCAACATTAATGATTTTTTGTGACATTTATGTTTTTTTTTTTTTGGTACTATAATTTTAATACAATAACATTTAAGTGTCTATGGAGTCGTTTTAAAAAAAGTTACGATTTCATTGGGAACGTTATTTTAATTAGCTTTAATCTCTTTAAAAAAATATAAAAATAAGTTTTTTAACTTGCATTTCACATTTCAGTCTGTTTGAACCTTGAAATAATCCGTTGATTATTTTACATGATCTCAGTCTTCAAATATTCTGTTTCATAGCATCATGATTAGCATAAATAAATTTTTAAATTTTTTAATGAATAGGATACATTTTTTTTTGTTTATACTACTCAAATATATAATTATATTAATTTAATTTTATTTCAGTAAAATTAATTACCTAGCAATGTGTGGGTTGTGATTTTTATTTTTGATAATACTTCGTTGTAAAGGGTATCCTAAAAGTTCCGAAGAGTTGGCAACATGGCAACTTGTCGGTTCTCAAACATCCAATAAACGAATGTCGGGCACATTAAATGGTCGTTTGATTTCAATTCCTGAAATTTTTTGAAATGGTTAATTACAGTGACCGATGGTGCACTGAGGTAACGAAAATTTCTGCCACACCATAGCAATATTATTGGCTGAAAGGCCGTACGAGGCTGGACTATTTTTTTTTCATTGTCTGCAACCGAACCTTTGTTCGAATTTAGCATCTAATCTTTCCACAGTTGTTTCATTCGGGGTGTTCATTCTACCCAAAATTCCACGTAATTTGCGCACAGTCTCGGCTACACACTCTCCGTATTTGTAATGAATTTTCAGTCTTCACTCGCTCATCCAACATATAGCGCTCCATTTTGTCTAATCGTAACGTGTTTACTACAACATGTGACCCTGTACAATGTTGCCAATTCTTCGTAATGAAAATGGCGCACACTTGGGGCACCCTTTATATTATTCAGATCTACCCCGTTTTTGAATGAACGAGTAGTCACAGCTAATACTAATAGCAACGAACTTGGCTAGTGATATTATGAATAGACAAAATGATGAGTTTCAAGAATTTTCATTTACATTGTGTATTTTATTAATTTTTTTTGTACTAGATGTGAATCTACATTTATTTATAATTCGCTTTTAGCAGAATACCAGTGTTAGTTACATTGAAGTGTCATTATACGACAGTGTAAAAGTAAGTAATTAAAAAATAGGGGAAGTAATATTTATCTAGTTTCACCTGAAAAGTCACCAGTGTTGACTTGATGTTTTTTTGTTCGTTAATTTTTCGATAACGAGAAAACGGTTTGTCTTTCAACTATTTTTCAAACAACAACATATTTTGAAGAGACATTTAATCAGAACTGGCCTCTTTTTGGCTAAAAAGAACAAGAAATTTGTCAGCAGATCAAGGGTTTTTTATTAATTATTTTTTCAAGACAGCCTAATATTTTTATAAGAAATAGTTGTAGAGTATAACGTGATTTTTGTTGTTACTTAAAAAATATTATTATAACTGTTTTATTTTTTACCTCAATGCATAAAATTATTTTTTATGTCTGTTATTTTTTTTATCGTTTTAATGTGAGAAATCCGATAATAAATGGTGCTTTTAATTTTCCTGTTATATAAATTATATACTAGATGCAGTTGAATAAAAAATGTTTTTAAAGGCAGTGCCGTTTCTTTTCCCCTGTACTTGTAAGTATACGAAAAAGAAATTTGTACACTATTTATAAAACATTTATTAGGAGAATTTAAAAAATGCCATAATTGTACATATTTTAGAATTGTAATTGTATTCCAGAAAGGATCAAATTTATTTCAGAATTTCTTCGAAATATTTCCAGCCGACAGAACTGGTAAGTATCGTAAATTTTTTCTGAGTTTTTGAATGCACATTTTTCTCACTTTCGTTTAAATTTTTCTTCAATTTTCTATGATTTTTTATATTTAAACTTGAATGTTTAGACACATACTCATATTTCACACATATACGAGGGTTGCCTTTTGTATTTCGGGAATGGACGATCTTGGTGCTGCCATCTGACAACCAATGTCCCTATCGTAAAATTTAACTTTTTTTCGGTATACCTATTCAGAATGTTTTGACATACAGGCGCTATTTGTTTTGTTACATTGACTTGAAAATTTCATCTCGGCCAAAAAATGGAATTAAGTCACGAACATTTCCATACTATTATTTTTTACAACTTTCGACGTGATTTTCTTGACAACAATGCATCCATGAATTTAATACAACTTTTGACAATGAAGCACCATCAAAAACCACTATATTAGTGGTATATGGATTTCAATCGTGGCCAGTTGCCGGTATGGGTCTTTCAAGATGAGCTAAATTCAAAATTGTTTGTGCCCGGGGCTCTTCTAAGCATATGGTCGCCGGTTTTTTGGAAAATCCCGACGTGGTAACTGTACCATGTAACGGATGGACAATTCTGAATGGTACACAACCATTTGTATGCCAGAAGTCTTTGGAAAGACGCATCATTCTTCCCCAGAAAAATACGAGCTCTCACACATTGGCTCAAACAAGAGAGGCTTTTTGAGTAGTGAAAAAGTCGAATTGATGAGTCATCTACCATACAGCCCTGATTTGGCACCCAATGACTTTTATTCCCGCACATTAAAAATAAATTATAAGGTCATTTTCCAATGGTTGACGAGTTCAATATGCATGATTTGGAGGCATCTCAATCAGAATGGAAAAAGTGCTTCGAAAATTGGTTGAAGCGCATGCGAAAGTGTAGAAAAAGAAGAACTTCATGGAGCATATTTTGAAGAACAAGAAAGTCCCACAACCTTTATGCATTGTATATGTATAATATAAATCGGTGCTATAGATTTTAGTCAAATAGTCTACGAATATTTGACTATATATGTAAGGAATGTTTGGAGTCGCATCATGTTGGTCCGGCTTTGCACTTACGATACACCTTCGAAATCATATCTTCCTTACAATTAAATGCAAACCCTAATTGAACAAATGAAATCTTTCTTGGTCTTAAGTGTGTGTGATTTTTGTAAAATGGTTGGCTGAAACTCCCGATTTGTAATCGTTTATTAGTTTTCAAATACACACTGGCCAATTCATTACAATCTGCTTATAATATAGAAGTCCATATTGACTTTTCTAAGCTCTTCGCGGCATTGTTCAAAATCAGAAATTAATAATTTCCTTAGTTCTTCTCTTCTGTTCTGAAAAGAATACAAAATATCGTTTCGTTATTATCTGCCTTACATAAATAATATTAGGTGGTCATTTTTCTAGCTGTACATCGGTTATTCAACAAGACAAGTTAAAAATGTTCTGAGTAGTACTGTACCTACCTCCAAACTAATTTCATTTAATGAGCATAATTCTTTTCCACACTGAAAATTAAAACGAGAAGCTTTTGCCGCACCCGACGTTTTTTCATAGCGATGATCAAACTGTCGCATTGACTTATTTCTAAAATAAAAATTTATGATTGGCAAAAATATTAAGATCGACAAAAATATTCTTACAATTTATGATACAATTTGTTTTTTAGAGCATCCATAATTTAATGTAAGATATTGCGCATTCCCACGCCCCAGAATCATTAGAAAGGGAATTTCACATCTCTGAATGACGGTGTCACTTTTGTAATGTGCGAATTTATATTTGTTTTTATCAAGTAGTTCAAAATCAAGGATAATTTGATCTTTGGGGCTAGTGGATTTAGACCACCTCTCCTTTTATACCGGGTGTTCAAAAAGTTTGGAACCCCCCTCTATCTCAGAAAATACTTCTCAAACAAAAAAATGATTAGGACAAAAGTTGCAACCTGAACATTTCAAATGGTATATTTTTGACTGCGAAAATGGAAAAAATGGAACTTTTTACGCTCGGATATGACCTTGACCTTCAAGGTCGTTTATAGGTCAAGTCGATTTTTAATAAATGACCCGTTATGACTGCGGAAATTGAATGAGCGTAAAATTAAAAAATTACCTAAATCATGTCTTTGATCGTGACCTAAAGGTAACTGTAACGTCAAACGTAAGCAAAGAACTTATGTTTAATAATGCTTCTACGAAAAAAATTTAAAGGCAAAAAAAGTATAGGGTTCCATTTAAAATTTCCAACGTGACCTCTAAATGACCTTGAAAGGTCATGGTCAAGGTCATATCCGAACGTAAAATTTCCATTTTCGGGGTCAAAAATATACGGTTCCATTTAAAATTTTCAGATTGACCTCTAAATGACCTTGAAAGTCATGCTCAAGGTCACCGTTGGATTGCTCTCTCAAAACCCTGCAACGTTTGTCCTAATAAATTTTTTGGTTGAGCAGTATTTTCTGAGATAGAGGGGGGGTTCCAAACTTTTTGAACATTCGGTATATTGAACCTGTATATCTAGTAGGCCCCATACACGATCAAACAATTTGCGCAAACTTTTGTCGTACAACATAATGTACAACTTGGTGATTACCACCTTCTCTATACCACAAATTTATTGAAA